CTCGCTACCATTCTGCTTCCAGGGGCTTCTTTTGCCTTGAAAAGCTACTTGCATGTGGCTGTAGCATCCGTGCTGAGGGGAGCCTCCCCTTCTGCTGCAGAATCATCAGGGAGACAAGAAACCAGGCTTATTTTCCAGGCTAGACCTTCAATACTGACGTGGTTCTCTGTGTAAGCTCTCTCTCCTTCACTGCTGATGGGGAAGCGATCAGTGAGGTGCTCAGAGGATGCAGAAGGGAACTGAGCAGTGGTTTAATCCATGATGTGCCAGGTGGCACCTGAGAGAGGATTCCTCTCCTGTATCTGTGATTTGTCGGTGCCATAACAAGACTAGATGCTGGTCACAGAGGTCCCCATTGACAGCGGGGGTGGGAGAAGGTCCATCGGGTAGGACAGAGTCTTCTGAATAGGCACCTTTTAGGACGTGGACGTTTCTCATTTTATTCTTCTCTTCTTCTCGAATCAGACAGATGCAGAGTTCAGTGCTACGAGTACCCCACCTGCCCGGATGTTGTGAAAGGCAAGTCCTCTTGAGCGTGTTTTGGAGTGGGTAGTGGAGACCACCATTAACCATGTGTGTTATAGCCTCTCCAAAGGGAGAAGGCTGTAACTATATGGAGATCCACTTTTGTTCTCTTACCTCTGGGTCAGTAATGGAAGCAGGGTTGGACAGTTGACAGTGACCAGGGAAGAAGGTTGTAGCATCCAGAAAAATAAGTTCAGTCCTATCTGAGAGTCTGTTGAAGCTTTTCTTTTCCTTTCTGGCTGGTTCATGGTGTGTTCTAAAGGAAGCTTTCTATATACCCAGCTCCCAGAGAGGAGGTTGCCTACGTGACCTGTACCTACAGGGAAACATGCATCGACCAACCTGACTTCCTGGCCACCATTGATCTCAACCCCAGATCTCCATGTTATTGCCAGGTACCTGTGTCTTGACTGTGTTTTTACTGGGCTGGTGACTAGCTGCTGGCTCTGTGCTTTATAGTGCCTCCAGATTCAGGACATCTACTCTTTTTTGCTGGGGAAAATCAGATTGCTTGATAGCCACTCTGTCATGCCAGCTGTCTGTTTATGCCTTACACCTTCTTGTCTTCCTGCATCTTTCTGTCTCATCCACCCTGAACTGACTTTTTTCCCCTGCTGCCTGTTCATATCCTGCCGAGACCCATCTGGGAGACCCCTTGTGAGTTTTGTCATGACAGGTCTACTTCTTGCTTTTCCACCGGTATTATGCATGAGATAGGGATGTTGTCTGCTAGGAATCTCACCTTCCTGGTCTCTTTCCACTGTCTTCTGTATGCCTCACTCTAGTTGAATCACCTCTGTCTCTGTGTCCCGGGGACAAGTTGGCTCTGACTCACTTCCCAACTCACTTCCAGAGAATCTTGGTGCTGCTAGTGAGTTTTTGAGCAAATGCTCTGAATCACCCTGTCAGTGGCTGCTCAGCATGGAAAATGGTCTCCAGTGACCCAGGTGGTTTAGGGTATCCAGCACTTTTGCAGAGTTCAGCAATTTTCTACTGTGCTGCAATGTTCTGTTATGCACTGCACCAACCTGTCTGCTGTCATCCTAAATGGGAAATTGGAGTTTACCTGTCTCCAAAGGCTGCAAAGACACATTATCTACTGTGCATCTTTGAACTGATCAGTCACATTTAACATTTCCGGAGATCTCCTTTGGTGTGGGCAGTGGTGTTATCATCTCTATGTTGCTGGTTGCATTAGGGTCCCCATTTCTCCGTGCCTCCCTGTGTGAACCCTAACTCTACCTTGAGTGCCTAGGTGATTCACCGCCTGCCCATGCCCAACCTCAAAGACGAGCTGCATTCCTCGGGGTGGAGCGCTGCCTGCCCCTGCTTTGACAATACCACAACGAAAAGGAACAAGCTGATTCTTCCCTGTTTGATTTCTTCCCGCATTTACGTGGTGGATGTGGGTTCACAGTGCCGGGCTCCCAAGCTGTGTAAGGTATGCCTGAGGTGATTCAAAGACAAGCTTCTGGGAAGGAGTTGGGAACTGGTGCTTCTTGAATAATGTAGAGGGAAGAAGGGTTCTCTCTTTATCTTCTCTTCCACCCTGATTTTAGAGAGCTGGGTCACTTTTGCCTCTCGGCTCTCTCCTTTTCAGACCAAGGAAGGCTCTGATCATCATTGCCTTCCCTTCTGTGTGCCTGTTGCATTCAGAGAGAGTCTAATAACGGGAAGTCACGCAACACACCACACCTGCCCCACTCCCAAATAGTGAGGTGGACAGACAAGCTGTTATGAGTTAGGTGTTGCTGCACTCTTGTTGTCTGTGTAGAGGGGAGCTCAGAGGCTTCTGTGCTCCTCTTGAAGGAGGAGCAGGTCCTAGCAAGCGTGAGTTCTGGGAAAGAAAGCTCCAGCAGGTGTCAGAGATTTTCAGAAGTCTCTGATGGCCAAAGGCTCTGCCAGGGAGTGTGAAATGAGCTGAGCAGTCAGAGGCTGAAGTGTGTGTGTGTCAACTTTTTTCAGATGATTGAGCCAGTGGATGTCTTCTGGAAGTGCAACAAGGGATACCTCAATATACCTCGCAGCCTGCCTAATGGCGATATTCTGATTGCCAACATAGGAGATCCATCTGGCAATGCGAAAGGTACTTTGCCCTTTAATAACCTCATGAACAAACGGATTGGTTTGGAAGTGGAGTATGTGATATTTCGTGCATCCCCTTTTTGTATCGCAGGTGGATTTATTGTGCTGGATGGAGAGACCTTTGAGCTGAAGGGGAACTGGGAAAATGAGTGTGACAGCCCACCGAGTGGATATGACTTCTGTTACAAGCCACGCCACAATGTTCTGGTCAGCTCTGCTGGAACAGCCCCAAAATGTACGGGATATGGATTCAGTCCCGATTACTTCAAGAAAGGTGAGGGAATATGGGTGCAAGTGCTGAGCCAGAACTCACCAAGGTGGTGGGAGGGTGTCGATGCCGTCAAAGAAAGGGCCGGAGCTGGTGAGAGGGCACAGGCAGATTTCTTCCCCAATGGCCCATTTTACAGACACGGCTACAGGACATGGAGCATCTGTCCTTAAGACAGGCTGGTTCCTGTCTTCTCCCACTGCTCCCTAAATCACCGCAGGTTCTCTGCTGATTCTGGCTCGTCGCTGCCATGGCTGTCCCTGCCTGTGAGCATTTTGGGGAGGGATTAGGGTAGCCCTCCCTCTTCTGACATGGTTTTCCTTTTCCTCAGGGGTCTTTGGGCGCCGCCTGAACGTGTGGAACTTGTCCTGCCGCAGCCTCACCCAGTGCTTTGACCTGGGGGAGGACTCTCTGCCCCTGAGCGTTAAATTCCTCCACAACCCCGATGCTGCCGAGGGATATGTCAGCTGTGCCCTGAGTGGCATCGTCTACCGCTTCTACAAGTGCGAGGCAAGTATTGTGCCAGCAGCCAGGGGAGACCCGGCCGTGGTGAGCTACAGAGGGATTGAGAAACACACAGAAGAAATTTGGGGTAGCAGAGAGAAAGAAGGAGGCGTGTGGAGGGGGCAGTATCCAGACCCTGCTTCGGATGTGTGTGCTAGAACGAGAGGAGTCTGTTCTTCCACTGAGTGTAAAGGGAGCCCATCGTGACCAGCTGGGATGAACATCTGGGGGATTAATTTGAGCGACGAAGACCAGCCTTGCTGTTGGTATCCGACGATGCTGTCCTAATTGTGTCTGCTCATAGTAGCTGGGTGCAGTGGCAGCCTTCCTCAGGCAACTTTGCCTAGCTGTGCAAGTGTGCGAGTGCAGGGGAGTGCTCTTGCCTGACCAGCCAGGAACGCTCATGGTGCGGTGCCTGTGTTTCTTGTGCAGAGAGACAACTGGGCAGTGGAGGAGGTGATTCGGATACCGGCCAAGGACGTGACGGGATGGATTATGCCCAAGATGCCAGGTTTGTGTGCCCTGAGGTGGTGTTTCCTTTTTCCTCCGGAGCGTTGTTTTGCACAGCCTGGCAAAGCCCACTCACTGACTGCCAAAGCCTTGCTGCGTAAACACGACAGAAGGCTCGTTGGAGGGGCTGAGGGGCTGCGCACCCCCCCAAGAAGACACTGCTGCCCCAGCTGGAGCCTGTGCACTTGAGCCTGTGAGATGTACAGAATGGCAGGGGGAGATGCGAGCTGGGGTTCGATGCAAGGCATGTTTTCTGTTGCTGCTGTCTTCTCTGGAGCTTTTTGTTTCTGTGCCCTAGCATTCACAGTGGACCTCATCATCTCAATGGATGACAAGTACCTCTATCTCAGCAACTGGCTGCATGGAGACATCCGCCAGTATGAGCTCTCCAAAACCTGCAAGCCCAGGCTGGTGGGACAGGTAAGGCAGGAGCAGAAAGGCTTGTGCTGTTGGGTTCCTCGGCAGGATGTGGTGGTGGTTAGATGACAAGGCATCATGTCTCCCACTGCCTCGCTTACAGGTGTTTGTGGGAGGCAGTATCCTCAGAGGTGGACCCGTGGCTGTGTGTAGAGACGAAGAGCTGAAGTGCCAGCCGGAGCCCTTGGTGATCAAGGTGAGTTCCGTGGCCTGTTTGCCCTCTGGTGTCCTTTGGACTTTGGCTCTGCTCTGCTAATTCTCTTGCCCAGGGTTTCTGGGGTAGGTCTCCCCTCGGGAGCTCCCCTGTGTCTGCAGCATCTGGTAGCTTGTCTGTGTTGGGAGGGGAGGCAGCCACTCTGCTCTGCTCTGCTCTCCTGCTCCTGCTTGTGCTTGACTGCTCAAAGAAAGAAGACAGTAACATCACTGCTGTCTGTTGTGCCTTCAGTGCAAGAGAGTGTATGGCGGCCCTAGTAAAATGCAGCTCAGCGTGGATGGCAAGAGGCTGTACGTCACCAACTCCTTATACAGCACATGGGACAAGCAGTTCTACCCGAACTTGGTCAAGTAAGAAACGTGGGAGACAAGGGGCCTCTTTTGCATGGCCTCTCTGTTAGAAACAGGAAAGGTGCCTCATCAGGGCGGCTACAAGGACGCGTTTGTGATTGCAAGGGGACAGCTCTTCCTAACACCGTCCCTGCAGCTTCCTCGTGTTGAATTTCACATTGTGAGTTGACTCACAAACATCTCTGGCTGGGCAAGGTGCAGCTGCTGCCTGTGTGGAGCTGCAGTGCCAGGGATTGGCTTGGGAGAGCCTAAGTGTTTCAGTCTGAAAGGTGGAGTGAATCCATCTATGGATCTCTGGGAGCCAGGCCACGTCTCTGCTACAGCATCTCCCAGTGTATCCACCAGAGATCTTTTGATTTAGCAAAGCAGACGATGATCTCCAACACCAAGGCAAGCTCCGGCCTGCCTGTCACATCATGCCTAGCAGATACGGAACAGGAGGGTGAAGGGCAGGATCTCTTGAACAGGACCATGGTTTGCTTGTCTGTAATAGCTGTGCTCTCGTCCCCTCGCAGGGAAGGCTCTGTCATGCTGCAGATTGATGTGGACACTGAGAAAGGAGGCCTGACCGTGAACAAGAACTTCCTGGTGGATTTTGGAAAGGAACCCAATGGGCCTTGCCTTGCCCATGACATCCACTTCCCTTGTGGGGATTCCACCACCGATATCTTGGCCTAGGCGCCATGTGGAAGACTCCCTTCTTCTCTCTCTTCTGTAGTGCAGCCATTAAGAGCGTAGGGTAATTGGGTCTGGGGGTCCTCATTCATTGCTGGAGTCTAGAATTCTGCTAACATAAGCTATGGAAGCTCTGCCTTGGTGCGAGGGTTTGGTTCAGGCCAGTGAACAACGACACAGGCATGTTTTCAGTGCAAAGCAATCCCTGGGCGTGATTCACAGAGCAGAGCCCAGGGCGATTGCTCAGATACAGACACGTGCAGTGCGCACAGTGCCTTTCGGCAGACATCTGCATACCCACCGTGCCTTGCCTCATTGCTACAGGCCTGTTGGACACCTGCCTTGATGTCCCCAGCCTGTTAGCAATCGCTGCCTAGTACCGGGGCCGGTAGCAAGGTGTTGGACTCTCAGTTATGCTTCAGGGCTTGATCACCCTTGAAAACTAAGGCAAAAGAAAGCGAAGTGCCCAGTTTGTCTGAGTTACTGTTCTTCAGCCAGGACATTCCTGGATAGTCTTCCCTGGCACAAGAGCCCTCTTGGCTCGCTTCTCACGTGCTTGGGTCGGTATGCATTATAGCTGAAGGAGTATGAAGTGCTTTATTTCAAAAAGAGGTGCCTGTTTCATGACACTGGTTTGCTCTTGTGTTCTGCTTTAAACAAGAATAAAATTGTTCTTTGCATCAGCTGGATCTTCACGTGTCTTATTTCACTGAAGCCTTTCTATATTGTTTTCAGCAGTGGTTAATGATTAGGTCAGGGTTTTAGAAATCCCTATGACAGAAACACTGTCTGGTCAGGAGTGCCTGTTAGTCTTCCTGAAACCCAAAGGTTGCAAAAATGTGGATCTAATGTGAATCCTTACAAATTTTAGCTTTTTCCATATTTACCTTGGAAGAAAAGATCTTCGCTTTCTTTCTTCACACTTCCCATGGACAAAAATATTGCTACAGCTCTCTTGTGCCGCCTTAATGGTCCCAGGAGAAAAACACTCCCTTCTGGAGAACAGTTCCATAGCTTCAATGAGGTGTCCAAGAGGTCTGGGAGAAATTGTCCCCTTGGGGGTCCTCTTCTCACGGGCTAGAGAGGACAACATTAGACGAGGTCTTGAGTTTCAGGAGGTGAGAGGCATCCCTGGGGCGCTGCTTGAGGGTGACACCCCGTTCTGATCCTCCAGAGCTGCCTTGTTTGAAGGCCTTCTCGGGGGATGTCCCTGCTGTTGAGGTGGCTTTGGAATGAGCCTTATCTCACCTGCCTTCAGACCCTGCAAAGCCTCTATCTCAGTAGAGGTGCCTCCTCCTCTCCCTTGGCTGGAGGGAGAGTCTGGCCAGCAGACATCCCTATGCCGGCGTGTGGTCCAGGTGGCTGGAGGTAGCTGTGCCGAATCCACCCTGGAAACCCCTCCTTGGGGTGGGGCCAGGCACCATCCACCTTAACGCAGGGAAGAACTCCCTTACCGAATGGCCATCTTTATGGGGTTGATCAGAGAGTCTGCTGTCCCTCACACTATCGACTGACCGCCCTCTCTGACTTGCAGGTGGTTGCACAGCAAGGCGAGGACTCAGCCTGGGCTGTGAGCTGCAGCTGGACTGTGAAGACCAACAGGCAATGGTACAGAGGTGACCCAGCAACTTGTTCCACCATCAGGCCATGCTATGCCCGAGCTGGATGGATGCGGACATGTTTCTGCTGGTATGAGCGAATGCCTTCGTCCCCTCCAAGGCCTGTTCCCAGCTCCTTGGGTCCTGATTTCAGTGTAGGCCTTTCCTCACGCTTGTGCATGAGTTACCCCGAGGAATGTGGAACGCGGTGCATCTGCAGTGGCTGAATGTGCCTTACCTGGGGAGATGGTGAATTGGGGTGGCTGAAGTTGGATGCTTCGTCTGTTCCCTCTCGTGGTTATTTGGAAGATAGGCTTCTCCCTGGTGCCAGCACCCGCCAAGTCCTTCCCAGCTTCCAACAGCTGTCCATGAGGACAGGCACTGCTGGCACCACCTGTCTTCCCTAAGGGAATTAACCCCATTACGGCAATCTTGCTGAACTGCAGCAGAGGCACTTCCGTGTAGGATGACTGGAAGGTGCATGTGAGGTCCAGATGAAGCTGGGGTGCTGCTTAGACATGCCTTGTCCTTTGGATTTAAGCCCTGAGGCTTCTTGGAGAAGCTTTCCTTGGTCAGAGGCAAGGTGGGACACAGGGGGACGTGCTGACCACCGCATTGTGGATCTGCAGTGTGCTCCATGGACCGTGTTGAGCATCAAATACAAACAGACGAGCCCAAGCAGGTGAGTTTGGGAGAGACTCAGCCAAGGCCATCCGTCTTTTTGCTGGCAATCTTCAGGTGCAATGGGCTGAGAGCCTCTGATGGCAGAGTGATTGACTGTTTGAGCTTGCTGGTTTCAGAGTCTACATTCGGGGTGAACACTGGAGAGCACAAGGCAGCAACCTGCCAGCAAAGATGTGCCTGTGAAGGCTGAGCATCCACTGCACAGCCCTTATAAGCCAAGCCGGCTGACACCCAACTTTGCAGCCAGAAGCAGTAGCAGGCACTGTGACTAAGCCAGATGTGTCATGGGGAAAACTGTTACATTGCTTCTGCCCTCCTCCCAACCAGCAAATTAACATCCCACAGTAAACACTCATCCTGCAATTAAAAGAAACCCAGTCCTCACTTTTCATTTTCAGTTGTGATTAACATCTGCAACCTCATAAAATTATTTCTGTGGTTGGGAATGCAGTGCTTGCCCGTTCTTCATCAGGGGCACCCTCTCAACCCCATAGGGAAATTCAAGACACTGCTTCTAGCAGGAAATCGGAGCAGAGGAGCAGCCTGCTTTCCCTGCTTTTCCCTAAAAGCCCTTGTTTTTCCAGTCTACAAGAATGTGTGCACTATGCAGTACAGAAACAGCCCTGTCCCCTACCCCTGTGGGAGGGGAGGAGGTTCTGGTAGCACTGAAACAGCTTCCCTGCACGTTTCCACTGCTGTAAGACGCTAAAGGCTGCCCTGGTACCTCCCACACCCCAAGGTGTGTGGATCCTCCCCTTGGCATCCTTTTTCCAAACCCTCCTTCTCCCTGTCCTGCTCCCTATATATTTGAACCCCCGCAGAGCTGCATCTTCTCTCTTGACTTGCTCCTAGCAGGCAGAATGCAGGCGGGATCGTCTCCTTCTGCTGCTCATCAGAAGGTGACATCCAACCCAGCCTCCAGCACAGGTAAGACATCTCTCCGTTGACTGCAGCTTGCTCTCAAGAGGAGAAGGCTTGGGTCTGTTGGTGGCTTGGTGCCTTCCGGCTGTGGGCTTTGCTCCAGAGTCCTCCTAAACTCATTTGGAGCTGGGTCTTGTGGGTTTGTTACTCTGACACCCAGAAAGCATAAAGTAAAAAGAAACGTGGGGATGAATGTGGTGTTTTCTCTGGCCAGGAAAGGGTTTCTTTTCTCAAGCTACTAAAAGTGTCAGGAAATGTTTAGGTAGACTGATGATTAAAAGCCTTCTAACTATTCTCTCATTTATTCAACTGCAACTTGTACAGACTGTGCTTGCTATAGTCAGGTATACCATGGCAGGGAGTCCGCAGTGCAAAGTCTGGCTTTGATGGGGCTATTTTTTCCAGGAGTAATATAAGGAGTAGGGAGAAGCAAGCTGGAGGGGTGGTTTCTCAGTGCTTCAGGTAGGAGCGTTTCCCTGGAGGACCAGGGACATGAGTGATAAATAAGAATAAAAACAAATAAGAAGCTGATGCAGCAAAGCCAAGTCATACAATTTAGGTGGGGGTTTTCCTCCCTCTCCTCAGGCTTGCTGTCATAAATGGGGAGAAGGGGTCCTTTTGGTGGTGGTGGTTGTTTCCTAACAAGCTTTTGTTCAACTGCATTAAGGACGATTTTCTCAGCAGTTTTAAAGTCTTTTGGAGAACGAGGCTGGCAGGTTTCAAAGTGCCCTGGAGACCCACAGCAGCGTGATGAGCACTCCCAGGATGATGCTAGGGGCTGGTGAGGAGGCTGACGCCTCGAGCACTGAATGTCTTGGGTGGAAACAGGCTTTCTGTGCAAAAGCTTTGCATTAACGTCCCCAAACCAAGGCACAGCAAAGTGAAGCCATCCCAAAGAGGGTCAGGAGGAGCCACAGAGCAGAGCCCGGGGCTCGGCTTATCCCCCTCCTCACCCCGCAGCAAGGGGATGCTTTCTCCCCACTCAGCTCCCAGGAGAATCCTCTCCCCTCCCTCTGCCCCTGGTGCAGCAGCCCGGCCATACTGCCTTTCTTCGCTGCTGCCTCCCATCCTCCTCCTCCTTGCAGAAGAACCACAGAGCTTTCAGCATCTCCTTGAGGCCATGCAAGCCTGGCATTGCCCCTACACATGTTGAGCAACCCTTCCTCTCCGCCACAGGGACATGCTGGGAGGCAAAGCAGAGAGACACAGCTGTGAGCCTTGTACCTTTCTGTACTAGAAATATATCACTGGCCTGTTTGGCTGCCCAGAGCCCCAAACCTTTCTGGGTTCATTTGGATGCATGTGGGCATCCTGGTTCACCTCAGACATTGCCATAGAGTGGGAGCATGCACAGCCACTCCAGTGAGCGGTTCCTTCGTAAAAAGGGGATTAAAAAAAGTCACTGTCATCTAATTTCTGTTTGTTTCTGTTCTTCTCAATGCAGAAAAGTGTGGAGCATGTGGTCCTGGCTTCGCCTCGCCTCTGGATGCAATGAAAGGCAAGTCTGAAATCCAGGGCAGGCAGGGAAGAGCCCTGTGCTGTCTGTGATTTAGGTGAAGATTAAAACAATGCTTTCAAAAGGGCGTTATTAATTAACTCCATTCTCGGAGGAGGCTCCCAGCAAGCATTAGGGAAGCGATGGTTTCGCTTCTGGCCTGTCCTGAGGCCAAACATCAATTGCATAATGACAGCTTGGTGTCAGAACAAACCTTTTTAGGTTTCATGATGGCTTGGGATGGGTCATAGCTTTCAGCAAAGTCACCTGTGGCTTCCTTGTGCAAAACCAAATGGGATTTTTAAGTGTCTCAGAGGCAATTGTATTGCTATAGCCCCACGACACCACTACTAGAGCTAAACCTGGGGAGGGAGAGGGGACCATGCTGATTTTTCATTACTCTCTGCCCCTGATGGCTGGGATCACATGACAAAACCTCATTGTATAAAAAACAGCCTCATGGGCTGCTTCCTTACATGTCTGGACACTTTGCCTGAGAATCCTTCTTGCTGCATTGCCGAAACACTGGTGTTCTGATGTGAAGAGACTGATGAATGCATCATCTCCAGCTATCCCTCCCTTAATCCTCTTCTCTAGGGTTTAGCAAACACAACCCTGAAACCTTAGAGAGCTCTGGAGCTTGCTCATGATCTGTCATTCCTGTCCCTGAACCAAGAAAACAACAATGAAGAGATGAGTCTTTAAAACATCCCCGTGTGTTGGCAGGGCTGGACAGTGATTTAAATTATTAGCAAATAACACAAAACCTATTGACTCTGCTACTCTGGCAAGTTTCCTTGGGAATTACCTGGTGGCTTCAGTGGTGCTGAGTAACTTTG